CACTGTTAGAAAGCTGAATGGCTACGCTTTAAAATGAATGTAAACTTTAACGTTTTCGTCTATTATTTGTTTAGCAATTTACATTTCAGTCGAGGATTGCGCTTTTTTTTATACACCCTGTACACCTAAATAAATGTTAACTGAATATAAACATGAAATTGAATAACATGCGGCAATGGACCTTTCCCCTTATAACTAAAATTTCGATCTGGACAAAAATTTCATCACAGCTTGAAAGAGCATCACAAAATTAGTAATATTCCAAAGTTTTGTTGCAAAATCTTGTAAAATGCGGATAATATAGTCTTGCGAAGTTTGCCGTTTTTCAGTCATTTTGTATTACAAACGGGAAATTGACATCCGATTCGGGTGTTGGGGCTGCAATTTCCCGTTTGTAATGCAAAATGACTGAAAACTGCAAACTTCGCAAGGCTCTATTTTACTCATTTTACAACATTTTGCAACGAAACTTTGGAATATTACTAATTTTGTGATGCTCTTTCAAGCTGCAAATTTTTGTCTAGACTTGCCTAAATCAAAATTTTGGTTATAAGGGGAAAGGTCTATTAAAACTATCATCACCTGTCACATATCAAAAGCATTTTTGTCAACACGGACGTGAGGTTACCGAGGGGGGACTGGATTAAAAACTGTCAGTTTGGTAATCTTAAACATATATGACAAAACACAAGACTTTTATTTTGTGACCCAAGACTCCAAGAGGTGTTCTTTAAAATGGAAATTACAGTAACAACATCTCGTGCAGTATTTTATTTGTTACCATATGAAGTTGTCATTAGAAGTCACTATCAATCTGAACTTCTCTATACTGATTCAGAAATGTATATTACGGCTTTTCTTGCATACACATACAGATTGTGTGGTTAGCTGTCCTCGAAATCTAATAATAACAATAAATGACAATAATAATACTGAGCCTTGACTTCTGTCCTGTTATTAATAACTACATGTCATATTATAGAAACTATAAGTCAAACTTGTACCTTAAACTAGTGCAAGAATATATAATTCAACTAAAACTACGTTATAGTTGTTTCAAAAAAGTTTTATAAACTCTTATTTTAAAGGAACTATGAGATATTGATTGTGCTATTTTCTCAAGTGGTAAACTATTATAAAGTTGCACTAGTAGCAGGAAAAGCTTTTTCTACTAATTGATCTTTCTTTTAATATTATATCTTCTCGTGCGTTCTCACGCAAAGCTCGATCCAAATCTGACAAAGGATTCAAGTTTGCCCGTGTTGAAACAGCTTGGCTTCGACTTTATACGCGGGATAACGTGATTTTCTTTAGCCATTTTCATAGTTATCCCTATGTTCCAACGTGACGTCACTTCCAGCCCGACGAGTTTAGCACTAACTTCCCACAATTTCTTGGCTGCGACATCATCTTGCGCATGTTTCGAAGGCTCGTCTTCTTTACAGTCGGAAAAATACAAACCACTAACTCCCTCTAATTCTTCAGACACTGCGAGATGAACCTGAGTTTGAGCCCCTTCTTCTACCGACTTTCCGAAATGCCTGAACAACACATTCCATGTAAATTTCTTCCATGGTGAGAAATGCCTTCGAATATCTGTCGAAATTTTACCAGGATGAAGCGAATTCACTGTCACTCCCGTGCCTTCTAAACGTCTTGCCAACTCTCTTGTAAACAAAATATTTGCAAGTTTGCTTTGAGCATAAGCCATGAATCCGTTATAGGATATCTCGCTATTCATGTTCTCAAAATTCAAGCCAGGTGCCTTTCGAGTAGGCTGTCCACGATGAAGTACCGAAGATACTACGACAACACGAGAGGATGGTGATTGCTTTAAAAGATCAAGGAGTAGATTCGTGAGTAAGAAATGTCCGAAATGGTTAACTCCCATTGTCATTTCAAAGCTGTCTTCTGTCTTGGAGAATTCAGGAAGATTAAAAACCCCGGCATTGTTAATTAAGATGTCCAGTCTCGCCTCGTTTTTTACGTCTTCAGCGAATGCCCGAACCGACTTTAACGAAGCAAGGTCCAAGTGTTTCACAACTACGCTTCTATTACCAGTTGTTTGGACAATTTCCTTCATTGCTTCTTCGGCTTGGTTTAGATTACGACAGGCCATGATTACACGAGCCCCTCTTCTCGCGAATTCTGCGGCAGTTTCTTTACCAATGCCAGTATTTGCTCCAGTAACAATCGCCGTCTTGCCGTCCAATCTCGCTTTGCTTGTGCACACACCGCCCGCGATGTACGGTCGTAGGATATAGGTATGAAACAGGACATAACATGTAATAAGTATTGCAAGTATTAGTAATGGGTACATTTTTTCCGTAATCTTCTCCCACACTGTTTAACGATGTGTCGTATTTCAAGAGCCCGGTTCGATCTGCAGTGGTCGCCATAGAAAATATATGCAACAGTGCGCTTTTATTAACTGGATTATGCAAGCATTATAGGACTCATTCCTGCATTAATTAATACATCTGCATTCCTTTCCCGGCGTAGGAGGTAGGCTACCCCTCGGGCAATATAATATGTGTCAGAATAATTTTCGATATAGCCCCTATTTTTCATATACATGTCCAATCGTTCAAATTAATGGACACGATTTCATTCCATTTGACAACCTATAGTCAAATGGTTGCATGCTGCGCATAATTCAGTACAGTCCATTTGCCATGCAAGGCCGGTCAAATGGATCAAATTAATGGGTACAATACAATACAATACAATACAATACAATACAATACAATACAATTTATTTAATGTGAAACAATTACAGCTAGCTAATTTACAGGTAATGCCATGAAAATTCTAACTATTATATATCTATATTAATCTAACTAAATATAACCTATTTACAATTATTATACATTGAAAATATCCAGAATATGCTCAATGACTGCACCCCCTCGGGCGCTAAATTTTGGACGAGGCATATGGAACGCCATGAGGCACGTGTCCAGCCGCAGCCAGGGTCTTTCCTAAAGACCCTGGGAACGAGGTTGCGTTTGTCCTTTCAGATTTCAAATCAATTTCGTTCCCCGATCCTGCGATCCTCGGGAAGGAACGCGAGGCTCTGGGATAATCCGTTTCAGGGGAGAATCCGATAGGCCGTTGAAATGGATGCGTACTTCAATCTTAGCCAGAATTCCTGGCTTCCGGCAACGGATTATCCCAGACCCTCGCGTTCCTTCCCGAGGATCGATCGCAGTCTCGGGGAACAAGATTGATTTCAAATTTCAACCTGCGAACGAGCATACTCATTACGGGCTGTATGGCCTGCGGAGGAGGTAGGTTTGTCCTTGTATTTGTATTTGTATTTGTAAATGCCTAGTGAACAGAATAAAAATACCACAGTTCGATTCAGCGTAAGAAATTGTACTTACGGATGTCAAATTATTACTAAACAACATATTCTAGCGATTTATGGAGTTTGTCTTTGAAAGCCAAGCGAAATTGTATTGTTGTTGACAAATCGCTCAAAATTATTAAAAAATAGGTACGCACTGCGTACATGTGGCAAGCATTTGGAATAAAAATTAGAATTCGCATTATGAATATAAAAATAATATAAAAACTGAGACAGATAAATATTGATATTTATAATTACCAATATCGAATACTTGATTAAAATAATGGTCAAGTGTAACATTGAGGTTGATTGTTATGACCCATTAACAAAGCCCCATTCTCTCAAATCTCTGGTACCTGTGTGAGCAACAAGAATTTTCTTCGAACATGCCAACTATTAAATGACAATATTAAGATTATTTCCATTAATTAGAATTCTATTCATAGTTGATGTGTCCCAGATGATTATAGACTTTATTTCATTTTAGTATAAATTTTGCATATCAAATGACCTTTCGCGCGTTCTGATTGGCTAGCTGACTAGTAAATCTGAGAATGTTTCGGCAAAATTGGTTTCAAAATCGATAAAATATTGAAAAAATCGTCCCCGGAAAACGAAAGAAACACAAAATGTTATATTTAACTTGAAAGGTAGGATTCCTTTATTATTTTCCTGTGTCAAACCGCTCAAACATATTCACGGACCGTTTAAAACTTATTTAAAACTCCGAAACATTCACTTCAAACAAGTAGCAAAAACCATCCCGACTTTTGCCAGTTTTTAGGAAAAACCTTGCCGTGATATTCTTTAAAATCCATTTTATTTTGTATACTATAGATTTCCCAATTTGTACGATACTAATATACTATTTCGTTTGATATGTCATGTTTTCATTGTGCTTTATGGTGTTCTGACCGCTGTATATATTGTGTTTTCGAAACTTGTAAAGTAAAAAGTGTTATTAAAACTTTATTTCGAACGATATAGTTTTACATTTCATTTTACCAAATTCCTCAGCCATTTCCTGAAGAAATTAATGCTAAACAGAAGCTATTTTTAATTCTAAGTCTGGTGAAAGAGTCATTCCGTTATTGTGTTTATATTCCAAGCAGAAATCGAGAAAAACAACTTTGTAATAAAGCAATAAAGTCACACAAGAAGCCATTTTGAAAGCGTGTGCGTACAAGAAACACTGCAACACTATTAGTGAACAGGCCGAAACAGTTTTATTTCTGAAATTTAATTGAACTGATATTCGGATATTTTGTTTTATTCATTAAAAATTTATACTAAAACAATTATTCGCCTCAGGCTCAGTGATTACGGTGAATATTCACCTCGACTTCGTCTCGGTGAATGTTCACCGGTAATCACTTCGCCTTCGGCGAATAATTGTTAAGACTTAAGTATAAAATCGCATGGATCAACACTGGAACACATTGTTTACCAGTGTTACTTCCAAACATCGACGCATTTCCGTGATTAATAACCCAATGAGTCGCATTGTGCCCCGATGCACCCTACTCTATTATTTTACTCTAACGCTAAATTATTCTACCCTGTCTAACGCTAGATGGTTTCACTTGTCAAGGGGAGAGCGCTGGCGCTCAATGGGTTAAAGTCTGCACAAATTGTAAAAGTAGGATTTTTCCCAACACCTGGATTTTCCCCCAACATCATTTGAGAGTCTCACTCATAAATCATAATGGTACATAAACATTATAGCATAGAATCTTAAATTTGTCAGAGGTATGCAAACTTTAATTCATTTCAGCCAAATATTATTTTCTTTCGTTGTTTAAGTATTAGTAAATTTTACTTGATTTTAACCAAATATTATTTTATTTTGTTGTTTTTGTGAAACATTTTGTTGTATTTTTACGCTTGAAAAGGGGCCATTGGCATTGTGTGGGCAAAAATACCAGAACCATCACCATTGTGCTGGGGATTAACAATCTTACCTAGTCATTGTGCGGGTACAGTATTACAAATATGAACTACATGTACAACTGTCAAACAATCTTGCAGGTAGGTTGATGTTGCTTAAAAAATATTTAATATTTGACTTTTTAAATCAACCAAAAAAAATAATGTTTGAATATATCAATTATGAATAGAATTCTAATTAATGGAAACAATCTTTATAGTGTCATTGGTCAGCATGTTCAAAAGGATTTATTGTATTAAATTGCTCGCAGAGGTACCAGAGACGGTCTCAAACGATACAAACACTATCTGTGCTTTATTCGTTTTCTGGGACGATTTTTTCAATATTTTGTCGATTTTGAAACCAAATTTGCCGAATCATTCGTTTTGAAAAGCATTAATTTACTAGTCTGCTAAATAATGCTTCAGATTTACTAGTCAACTAGCCAATCAGAACGCGCGAAAGCTCATTTGATATGCAAAATTTATACTAATAATGGTAATTATAGCTGTTCTGCAATCTGATTGGTTGAATTACTCGCCGTATATCAGCTCATATACGGCGAGTAGCGAAAAACAAGATGGCGGTCGAAAAACTACATGAGTTTTGCCATGGATAATAAAATAAATGGATAGGAAACTAGCTGACGTGACCTAATGTTTTTACTGGGATTGATGGCGTGGTTGGATGCCTCAACCTAGTTGAAAATCAAATTCTCAAAAACGGCATGTTTAGCAATAATACAGCTAAACATTTTAGTTAAAGAGCAAATAAATGTAACCACGCCATTCTACGATGAAAACTCTAAGTATTCCCAGTCAATTTTAGCACATATTTCAAGCACTAAACAGTGAAAAATACATCGCAAATTTCGTTAAAATTTGTGACTCCAATTTCGTAGCTACAAATGTAAAAAAAATACAAAACAAAGACGAAAAACATTTACCTTGAATACTTTGTCGTGGCTTAGGCATGTTTTTAAAACAATTAGACCAGTTTACGCTTCAAAATCACCCTTTTAAATTAAAGTGGAAAATATAGCAAAACAACAAAAATGCCGAGAACTTTGGTAACATTCGCAATACGCGTGACGTCACGTTTTTCAACAAGGATGCAGTCAATGACGTCAGAAGTTTCCAATCCATTTATTTTATTATCCATGGTTTTGCGAAGCAAGAAAAAGGAAAATATTCGCTTTGAGAAAGATAATATAATAGTACAAGGGAAAACTCTCAAAAACATTTGACAGGTTAGCATAATACATTTATTACATAGAAATTAGTTTAAATACAAGTTTTTTAAAGAATTAATACCAAAACAACAGCGAAAAGAACATGTTCGTTGAGAATATAAATTGTTCACAAAAGTTTGCAATAAAAAACAAATGTATTTGCAGTCAACAAGTATACTATACTACCAAACATCTGTATAATATATCTGAGCTTTTCTGTGAGATATACTGGTTCTAAAACCATTTCTTTCACTTCGTCTTCGAGTTGTAAAACAAAAGTATTTCAAATTTTCACTGCCATGCAAGCGGTTTTTGGCCGAACAAATTGTCAATACATTGTAACAGAGGATAATTAATTATTGCTTCAGTTAATGAGCAATTATTGGATGAGGCTGAGCATGATATCAAGAATTATTCAGACCGAGGTCAATGTTATCTGCCGAAGCGAAGCTGAGGCGGATAACATAGACCGAGGTCTGAATAATTCTTGATGTCATTCGAAAGCCGAATCCAATAATTGTTTTATTATACATTTAAAGACATGAGAAACGTATAAAACGATTCCTGTTCGTAAGGTAGGAAAAGTACAATTTGAACATCAAACACCTTGCACAAAGTCAAAGGTCAGCTAAATATTCTATTTCTACTTCTATTTACCCCTTTGTGGCTTTCTCTGTCCTTTCACTATCCTTATCTGCCAATAATTTGGAGAGTTCACTTTCATTCAGCGAGGCAAATCTGCTGTAGGCCATTGTTTGTTTGTTTGTTTTTTTTTCGCGCGCTTATAGATTCAAGCTTTTGGCCGCGCAAGGGTTTGGGCACGAGAGAGTCCAACATTTTTTTTTTGATGCAAGTTCGATCCAAAAAAACAATTATTGGACGCTGATGACGTCATCGGCGGAAAATACGTAATAAATGCCGAATACTGAAAATTAGCCTGTGCTTTCTGACCAATTAGAAACGAGAATACATATTAAATGTATAATAATGGCTATTAGACTATATTATAAAACAATTATATACCATTCGCTCTCGTCGTATATGGCTGATAGCCGACTCGATGCTACGCACCTCGTCGGCTATCAGCTCATATACGACGAGAGCGAATGGTATAATTGTTAAATATTTATCTGTCGCAGTTTTTATTTTATTTCTATGTTCATAATGCAAATTCAAATTTTTATTCCAAATACGTGGCCTTTCACCTTGCTTTTCACGCAAATACAACCTGATCTATTTAAAGATCAGTGTATAAGGCCATGGGAATGAAAGTCATAGATTTGCGTCCACCGCCCGCATGCCTCAAAAGCTGCCGTAAAAAATTTTCATTATTTACAAAAAAATTCATTATTTTCACAAATAAAGCAAAACTCAATAAAATTAGCAATAAAATTGTGTACTGATTACAATAAAATGAACATATTGCAGTGTGTTTGTCCTCAGTATCCACATTCTATGAAATTCCAAATTATATTCACCGAAATGGCGAAATTGGCACACAGATCTTCAGTGCTGCAACTGCGTGAGCTCGAGATATATGTAATTCCGTGGCGTAAACAGTAATTCGTGTTTTGATCTCTGTATTTACCACCCAAAAGGATGGTAAAAAATAATGAATAATGAATAATGAAAAAAACCGCATGTTTTTTCAAAATTATCCGGACGCAAATCTATGGCTTTCATTCCAATGGCCTAAGCAACAAATTACAATGGCCCATTTTCAAGCATCAAAAATACAGTATTTGGCTGAAATCAACCAAAGTTTGCTTACCTGTGACAAATTTGAAGCGGAATATCAAGTCAATTTTGCTTTACACAGGCACAGCTTCTCACAAATTGCCCAAATCAAGTATATATATATATATATATATATATATATATATATATATATATATATATATATATATATATATATATATATATATATATATATATATATATAGAACAGTCTAGAACAGTCTTGGTTTGTGCGCTATATAAATGTTTTTTATTATTATTATTATTATTATATATATATATATATAATAATAAGCGCCTAGAACAGTCTTGGTTTGTGCGCTATATAAATGTTTATTATTATTATTATTATTATTATTATTATTATTATTATTATTATTATTATTATTATATATATATATATATATATATATATATATATATATATATATATATATATATATATATATATATATATATATATATATATATATATATATGAACAACTCAATCAAGTAATCAAATCAACACATGCCTCGAAAGTTACATTATTTCCTTTCTTCACCCGCCTGCACTAAACGCCTGCTACGCAGGCTAAATGTCACGTGACTGGACAAACTGACAACTTTTTTTATCGTAACATAGTGGCTAGGCATATATGGCTTGCCGCAAAAATGCAGTACGTTTGATCCTTGATAACTTTGGTGTCGTTGGTTTTCTCTTTTCGACCGTATACCAGTGGATTCGTCTCTCTTAATTCATTTTGATGAGCCCAAAAGCCGTTTCAATTTATTATTTACTGTCGAAGGTTCTGGAATCCAGGGTAATTGGGACTAGGTAATTTGGGGGCAGGGCGGAGGAAATGACCATTGCGATAATTACCAAATGCTATACCCGAAAATTGACCAAACCTGGCAAATATATAGCCAAAGCCAGCCGAGTAAAGGCCTACAATCGTCCACAAAATATATATTGCGACTTTTTGAATCACTCCCCCTCCCCCCTTATTTCAATGTTGAAAGCCTATTGTACTTATCCAAAACGAACATCAGATGACACTAGAACAGCAACCGTGTCACTGGCAAAAGATTTGTTCATAAGATTTATTCACTACAAACTTGTTTCGTATTTCGAGCACTCTACTCATATATGATTCTAAATACATATTTTATATATATATATATATATATATATATATATATATATATATATATATATATATATATATATATATATATATATATATACATACAGTGGCGTAGCTAGCGGTTATTAAATTTTCCCTTATTTTGAGATCAGTGAGATGACCACCCATACACCCATGAACCGCGCCCGCGATATTTGATGAACTTTAGACTTCGCTAGTGCGACCCTTTTCCAGAGGCGTAGCCAGGATTTTCGGTCAGAAGGGGCGGCAAAAACCCAGGTGGGGCCCAGCCGCCAGTGACTCGAGACGCAAAGTTCGCGCAAGAAAAAATCTTGCGGATCACAGAACATTTTAAATCTCCCCCTCCCCCTGTCGACATCTTTTTCCGGCAGTAAAAAATTTTTCTGGACAATAACATTACAATTGCTTTCGTAGCACTTTTCCCGTTTTCCGTATCACTTTTTCCGATGCTTCACCACGAAGATTCCGACTAACTTTAGAGAGTTTGAGCAAGAGAACGAAGTCGGACGAGGACGACGTGGACCGTGGTTGACAATTTTTGCCTGTCTTGCCGATTATCTTACGCATTCTGAGTTTAGGGTCAGGCGTGAAAACAGATTAGAGATTTATGTCTAGCTGTTTATGAATGCTGACCCAAATCCTTACCCTGATCAAGACAAAACAGCGAGACATGAATCCTAGTCTCGTCTTCGTTCTTCTGTCTTCGTTCACAACGAAAAATTCGCAAAAGTTTTGGCAAAATTCGCTGTGAACTTCGTTCCGAACGAAGGCAGAATGACAAAGACGGGACATAGTTTCATATCTCGCTGTTATTTTCCGGGCCAGGGCAAGAATTAGGGTCAGTATTTATAAACAGCGACACATGGGAAGACACGTTGAGCAACCACCAGTGACGTCCAACTCAGTATGCCCAAGATAATGTGCAGACGGCAAAAATTGGCAAGTACGCCTTTGTCTTCGTACTTCGTTGTCTTGCTTAAACTCTATATTGACAATTTTCCACGGCGCACTCCCGAGCCCGCATTAAAAATTCACTTGTAAGATAACAGATTGGTTTAAAAACTTCATCTAACCCTCATTTAATACATACCGAAATAATTAGGGTTAGAAAAGGTATGTGTTTGAAGCTTTGTGCCGCAAATAAGCGAACAAGTGATTTTAGGTTTCACACCGATGCCCAACAAAGCATATATTCTACAGAATTTTTGCATTATTGACAGCATGAAGCTTTATAATCAAGGATTTCCTTTTTTATGCAATACATTTTACCAGGGGGCCCCCACATTTTACCAGGGGCCCCCCAAAGAGGGGGCAAAATTTTGCCACGGGGGCCCCCCCCCCCCGGCCCCAGCCCTGGCTACGCCTCTGCCCTTTTCCCGCGTGTAAATAGCTGGGGGAATTAGTACCCTCGCACGGCGCTTCGCGCCGTCAGCTCGGGGATAAAACATGAAACACTGGTTGGTTTGGCAAAACAAATCGCTGCGAGAAAGATTTATCAGTTTCCTCTTTTCAAAAGACTCCATCACTTCCAATAAGGGTAGGTTAGATGGGTTTTATATAATCTAATTTTTTGTTCATGTTTTTGCGTTTATTCTACCACAGTCTACACTGTCGCGAAACTTCGCACATCAATAATTTTTGTTTTTATAAAGTGGAAACACCACATGAATTCTTTCTGCGCGCCATATTTTGATACTCGTGTTGTTTGCGAACTGTGTCTCTGAATATTCTCATTTTTATGATCAGAAATTTTGTAAGAACCGAAGTATTATAAAGATTCAATAAAGAACGACTTGAGGGAATAGTTGGGTGATATTTCTAATCGAAATTTGAGCGCGCATCTGATCATACGTGGGAAAGATCAAAAGCTGAAAGCCAGACAAGCCTGAAACCATGTCTAGGAAATGTGATGTCTGTAACAAGGTATTTTCACAGAGAAGCTCTTTATTAAGACATAAAAGAACACACAATGAAGAGAAACCTTATAAATGTGATGTTTGTAACAAAAGATTTTTACGATCAGGCCACTTAGCAGTTCATAAGAGAACACACACTGGAGAGAAACCTTATGGATGTGATGTTTGCAACAAGAGATTTTCACACTCAAGCACCTTAGTTACACATGAAAGAACGCACACTGGAGACAAACCTTATGAATGTGATGTTTGCAACAAGAGATTTTTGCAGTCAAGCAACTTAGCAGTTCATAAGAGAACACACACTGGACTGACTGGAGAGAAACCTTATGAATGTGATGTTTGCAACAAAAGATTTTTGCAGTCTGGCACCTTAGCTACCCATAAAAGAACACACACTGGAGACAAACCGTATGAATGTGATGTTTGCAACAAGAGATTTTTGCAGTCAAGCAACTTAGTGGTTCATAAGAGAACACACACTGGAGAGAAACCTTATGAATGTGATGTTTGCGACAAAAGATTTTCACGCTCAAGCATCTTAGCTACCCATAAAAGAACACACACTGGAGACAAACCTTATGAATGTGATGTTTGCAACAAAAGATTTTCACGGTCACATGTCTTAACTGTGCATAAAAGAACACACACTGGAGAGAAACCTTATGAATGTGATGTTTGCAACAAGAGATTTTTGCAGTCAGGTGACTTAGCTACCCATAAAAGAACACACACTGGAGACAAACCTTATGAATGTGATGTTTGTGAGAAGAGATTTTCATGCTCGACCAACTTAACCAAGCATAAAAGAACACACACTGGAGACAAACCTTTTGAATGTGATGTTTGTAAGAAGAGATTTTCATTCTCGGCCAACTTAACCAAGCATAAAACAACACACGCTGGAGACAAACCTTATGAATGTTATGTTTGCAATAAGAGATTTTCAGAATCTCACAAATTAACACGACATAAAATATCAGCACACAAGAGAAAGCCGAGTCTTGAGTGTGCTAAATGTAAGAAAACATTCACACTACTTAAGAGTCTCAAACATCACTGGAGAATACATTCGAGAAATGGCTTATTATTCTGCAACAGTTGTGGCAGGGAAATTAGTCAATCACAACGACAAGGACATGCTAGTGAGATACTGAGTGGCGATCATTCTGTCTGCAACAAATGCGACAAACAGTTCCCTGATATTGAAAGTTTATATCAGCACAAGGCCAAAGACCATCATTCATCCCACCAATGTGATGTTTGCAAGGAATTAGAAGCAAGAGAAGCAACTGGCATTGGTTATATCTGTTGTGTCTGCGATGCCGAGTTTAAAATTGCCACCGAACTTGAAGATCATATGAGTATGCATGACAATATGCTGCCCCACTAGGCAAGATAAATTGAAAATAATTTGGGATTTTGGGTGATATGTTGTGTTGAACAGGGCCGTAAGTAGACACGATAATTGTGGAGTGTATGTCATATATTCATGTTCATATACTGTCAAAACAATCACTTTCAAAAGAAATCCGTCGGGCAGAACACAAATATATGAATATACACCCCCCAGTTATCGGTCTAGCTACGGCCCTGGGGTTGAAATTTTTCTTGAAATTAATTTGGCATTGCTTGAAATTGATTAACTTGTTTTGGAGTTGTCTTCAAAATACAGTATCACTGTTCAAAATTGAAAATGATGTTTACACTTTGCTAATGAATGTTGTTTTAAAATTCTCCTGAAAGCTGTTTGGAATTGTTTGAAATTGATTTGAGATTGTTTTTCAACTTTTTAAATACAGTATAAACTGTACGATACTGAATTGATGATATGGTGGTGATTGATTTGTTTCTTCGGGAATGCATTTATAAACTGAGATAATTTTGTATTCATATGTTGTTTTTGCCTAGTCTCCTACGCAGCCTGTTCGCGGGTCCGAGGTTTTCTGTTAGTGGGGAGAAAACCTCGGACCCGCTAACAGGCTGCGTAGGAGACTAGTTTTTGCCGGGTTAGAAATTGTTTAATATTGAACTGTTTATATACTATTACTAGGTTACCCACAGGGCAGTAATGCTGCCTTTGACAGCAAAAGACAAACTATACAGGGTGTTGAACGAGTCCTTCAGAAACATCTTATTATTGTTATCCTTGTTAACCCATTTATTGACAGTACCCTACCACTGACTGAGTATTAAAAATCGTCTGGCGTTGGACAGGGTAAATACTAAAGTAGGGGTCATTACTGTGTTGATGAATTAACAAGAGCCATTGGCAGATAGGTTTGTTAACCCATTTACTGGCAGTACCCTATACCACTGACGAGTAAAATCTTCTGGAGTTGGACAAGGGAAGGGCGCATTGCCAGCTAATGGGTTAAACCACCGTGGTTAAACATAAGATTTCATGATGCTCCAGGAAATGTAAACAAGCTATCAGTGTGACATCCCAGTTTATATATTTATATACTCGGAATATTGATTTCTCGGTATATACAAAATTATTTTAAAGTATAACAACCACCGAAGACGTAAGCCACTAACTACCCTGCGCGGCTGCGCGCAGACTATGTAATGACATATATATGTCATCCGTCCGGTCCGTCCGTCGCCATCATAGATATCTCTATGGTCGCCATCCGTCCGTCATTCATCCGTCCGTCCGTATCCGCGTTTTATCTTAACCCGTTTTTAAAACACAAAGTTTGCATAATTAAGGCAGTGCGGTTCGTCATGTTCAACATTTTCAAAAGCAGCCAATTAGACCAGGGGTTAAATGAAAATGACAATGACACGGCAGGTGACATTTAACATTGCGTCTCACTAATTAAAATTTGCGTGTTTAATAATGTTTATCAAAGAAAGCAAAAATGTATACAAGACAATCTCACATGTGGAATTTTTTCACTTACGTACTGCCTTGTGATGCAGTACAAGTATAAATACAAATGACAAAGCATTTGTAAATTTTAAAACATAATTAAAAAATCATACGGCACATTTCAGATTTTAATATCGTATTTCAGCCGCGTTTATACGGTTTGGCGCATTCGCTGCGTTATATTCATTTATATACACAGAAAAGCATGTCATTGTCCATGCAGACCATAGGCAAAAAGCATTTGTCAACCACATACCAAATTTAAGCAATCGTTAAATCATATACATGTCATGGAAAGAATATGGAAATAATGTTGAACGAAAGCTAGCATCGCGTATAATATTAAAAGCACCGCATATTTATATTAGTGCTCGAACCACTGCGTATAATTGTGTGTATAACTGCGTTATAAATGTAGTGTAAAATAGTAATGTAGTGTAAAATAGTAATTTGTGTTGTTTTTTGTTTTTTTTACCATAGAAATCCTTTACGATGCTGGTCACCGGTTAATACCAGCTATTTCGTGTAAATATGCTGATCGGTCTTTCTCCAGTTTAAATAAAGTCATTATTATTATTATTATTATAATTGCAAAAGCACCGCGTATATAAATGGTGAAAGCACCGCGTATAATACTGGAACCACCGCGTATAATGGCGAAAGCACCTTGTATAATGCCGAAAGCACCGCCGTATAATGCTAACAGCACCCAACAAAATGCCGTTTGATCACTCTAAGCCAGCTATGGCTTTCCATAAAAGAAGACCAAAGATGAAAGATGATCACATCGCCTGTTTGCCTTATGCCTGACCGCGCTGCACCACGGTTAAAATTCACTGGTACCGTCATGCAATGCGCCAAATAGAAAATTTTGATTTCGACCCACAAAACAAAATTAGGATCTGCTGCCTTGCTCGCTCGCTTCAGGCTCGCTCGCTGCGGCAGTAACAAGCATGCGTATGAGTGTTTTATTAAAAATAACAAACAACTTATAAAAGACTTTTTAAAAAACCCGGCGCCATTTCGACTTGTTTTGTTGTGATTGTTTTTAATATTTTCAGTGGCGCCGTGGCCGGGGGGGCCATGCCCCCCCCCCTACTGTGAAGACCCGTCGGAAAATTGTGAATGTTGTCGGAAATTTTTGGAAAATTGGCAACGTTGTCGGAAATTGGCAAAATTTCCGACGTTGGTAAATTGGGAAATTTTTTGATAAATTGAGAAAATGGGTGATTTCCGGAAAAATTTTAAGATGTTACGAAAAATTTTGGTATGTCCGGAAAAATTTTTGACCCCTAAAATGTTACACTGACCGAAATTTGTTTGGCGACGGGGGGGGGGGGAGTCGCCAGAAAAATTTCTGTCGGAAATTATTTTCAGGTTTGTCGGAAAAGTACAGCCCTTGCCCCCCCCCCCCAATACAGTATAAAGAGTTTCGTACTGAAAATGACATTGATATTTTGGTGATGATTCCTGTGTTGATTCTATGGTTGATTGAGGGATCCATTTATAAACTGAGATCATTTTGTGAATATTGGTTATTTTTAGTTGGAAATTTATTAAGTTTGGATTATTTATAGTGTAATGGAATGTTGTTAAAATATTACATTTTTATAGTGATATTACTTCATTTTGTTATGGCAATATTATATTTTCTGAAGTTACTGTACATCTTGAAATAAGGCCCCCTCTCTAATAATACCACCTCTCCCCCCTTTAGATGAATAAATTTATCAACCATCAAGAGTTCCCATCTAGCGCAAACATGGCTTCCACAATAGTGAATTATAAAACATGAAACACGTCCTGATTGGTTTGCCAAAATAAATACCCTGGTTGAAAGCGGCAATTGATTCATCGAGCCACGCCAATCAGTTTGAATTAGGATCAGATCCTGACTCTGTCTCCTGATTGTATGATTGTATTAAAGCTCTCTGATTGATTCAAATAAAACATCTATAACCGATCAGAGAGCTTTGATACAATCATCCAATCAGGAGACAGAGTCAGGATCCAGTGGCGTGCTGGCAGGGGGGGGGGGCACCCAGCTGGCAATTTTTGAGGGGCGAAAAAATGAAAAGGGGGCGCTAATCCCGCGCCGAATTTTGAAAGTAGGTGGGAAGAAACGCATTCGAAGAAATATAGTTACTAATTCCGCCAAGGAAAGATGTGTTTATAGACTTATAAACAGACTAAGCGCATAGGCGACAAAGTGAGTGAGTATATTAAATTGCAGACTATTTTGTCTAACCGTATTTGCTACCTCACGACTCACACGAAATCACTCGTTCATATAGAAACATGATCAGTGATCACACGCAATGTCTCATTACCGTAATATTGATCAGGTTTCGAAGCGATCACGGAAATCATGCATATGCGTGGGGTCCGTGTGTTATTGTATAAAAGAGCTGTAAGTTGTAAATGAATTCAGATCAGTAGAGAATAGAATTGGGATTAGATTAATTGCTGGAAGTAGTTAGCATTGCCCAATTTAAGTGCTATTACTAAATTCTAACCAATTTTCAAATTTCGACACGTTGTAATGCCGTTTCCTGACCATCAGATTTCTGTCAAATCTTCCCCCAAAGTCCAGGAAATGGCATTTCAGAGACTCTAAATTACAAAATTTTCCCGGGGGCCATGCCGCCGAACCCCCTAGACAAACCTCGCACCTGCGCCGCTCGGCTCGTGCCTTCGGCCCTCGTTTATCAAGGGTAATATTATAGGGGCTCATATTAGTTGCCAGCCGACTGCCCCCCCCCCGAAAAATAGTACCCAGCACGCCACTGTCAGGATCTGACCCTAATTCAAACTGATTGGCGTGGCTCGATGAATCAATTGCCGCTTTCAACCAGAGGTTCATTTTAAACCTCTGGAACCAGGGTACAAAGGAATCGCGCCATATTTTGATACTCGTGTCAGTGTTTGCGAACTGTGTCTCTGAATATTCTCATTTTTATGATCAGACATTTTGTAAGAACCGAAGTATTATAAAGATTCAATAAAGGCCAGACATGAACAGGGCCGCCGAGGGCATAGCATAAAAAGGTCAACTTCAACAGGTCAGATTATTGTTGACGCAGCGAGCGAGCCTGAAGCGAGCGAGCAAGTCAGCAATGCTAATTCGTATTGGGCTCTGAAAGTAAGATTTTACTTCCGTTTCTCCGACCAGAATGCACTGCTGTTAACCGACCAGCATGCATTGCTGTTAGCCGACCAGAATGCTTTGCATGCATAATGCTATAAATACGGGCAATCTCATTAATCAGTTTATATAAGCCGGTAACGATGTAGTTCTTTTGGTGTATTTTGTATTTCATTGTATGCCTGGTCTGCTGATTTCTGGCTCGTCTTACACGCTTCGAAAGCGAATTTATGCGTTTGTGCTCTTCGCCTTATTTTCTTTTGTCTTTTCTTATTTCATGTAGCACTTACTGTAGCAGTAAAATTAAAAAATTAAACGAGGCTTACCTGTAAGGTGAAGTTTGATTTGAATTCTACGAGTCATTGGTCAGGAACAAAGAAGTCACGTGAGATAGAGCGCGGGAGATCGGAGCATTCAGTTTTTAAAACCAGCTGTGAATGAACACATAATCATAATTTTTAGGGTGGGATATGCATGTATAGCCTCCACATTCCCTGGGAATGTGACTTCTTTGTTCCTGACCAATGACTCGTAGAATTCAAATCAAACTTCACCTTACAGGTAAGCCTCGTTTAATTTTTTAATTCTACTTCATCATTGGTCAGTTCACAAAGAAGTCACGTGAGACTTTAAAGCAATGTGTCCATGAACAGCTTGACAATGTGTCAAAACACAACACAATTTATTTGTTTACATCTTGATAAGATAACAACAAATGTTCCCCAAAATTAGCGGAATGTTCTATTGGTTTATTATAAAACCTTTGGAATGTGGTTTCACTGGACCATCCAGCTGCTTTCATAATAATATCAATTGGCAGTTTTGTAGAGGATGCTGCAGATGTGGATGCAGAACGAGTGCTGTGTGCACCATAACAACTTGTATCAATACCAGCTTTCCCCATTATAGTTTTGATCCACCTTGCAATAGTATCTTTGCTTACTGGCTTATGTGGTTTGTTAAAACTAAGCCATAACTCATTATTTCCATCTCTCACCACACTTGTTTTAAGCAAATATTGCTTGAGGCATGTCACCACACACAGAAGCTTGTCAGCTGGGTATGCTTTAAATACTAGTGGTTTAAGATGCTTTCCAGGCTTGGAAGTCTTTAGCAGAGTATTAATTTCAAATGTAATTTGGTTATCCAATTGTTTCATACCACTCAATGTGAATGCATGTACTGTTTGACACCGCTGACCAGATAACAAAACTACCAACATAACAGTTTTAAATGTTAAGTCTTTTAGCTTTAACTCCTCAACAGGTCCCATTGTTCTTAAGTAGTTCAATACGTCAGAAACGTTCCATGTAGCTTGATATCGAGGAAGAGAGGGCCGAGATTCGAAAACACCTTTCAAAAATCGGGTTACTAAGGGATGACTGCCAAATGATTGGTCTGTGGGAAAAATAACTGTAGAAAGTGCACTCCGAATAGTGTTTAAAGCACTGTACGATAACCCCCTCTGATATTCAGTGAAGAGGAATTCGATTCCATTTCCTACAGTTGCACAAACTGGATTAATCCCCCTTGAGCCACAGAACATTTCCCATCGTTGTAAGTAAGTGCGATATTGTTTTTGTGTTCCCTGCCGCCACGACTGCATGATAATTTCTGAAGCCCCTTCTGAAATGCCTCTGTTGAGGAGGTGACTCCTGACAAGTGGCAACATAGTAGCTCCAGTTTGTTGAACAATGGGTGTATCGCCTGTGGATCTGCTTGTAGGATCAGCGTGTTCTGTCTCCTAGGTAAAATCACAGGGTATTGTATAAGCATATTCATTAGGTTAGGCCACCAAGCTTGTGTGGGCCAATATGGAACAATAATCAAGCCTGTGGCTTGGTCCTTCTTTACTTTTTGAAGAACTTGGTGAATAATGCAGAAAGGAGGAAAAGCATAAAATTTATACATTCTCCATGACAAATGAAAAGCATCAATTGCATATGCTTCTGGGTCTGGTGTGTAAGCAACATATGGCTTAACCTGGTAATTAAGCCTAGAGGCAAACAAATCAATATTAGGAGAAAACCCCAATGTTGAAACTACAGCATTAAAAATGTCCTTGTTAAGAGACCATTCAGTTTCTCGTCGAGATGCACGAGATTCTCTATCAGCCGCAGTGTTTTGTTTCCCTGGAATATGTGCCACAGTGAGCCATGTATTGTTAATTATACACCATTCCCAGATTTTTGCCACTAATGTATTATTTGCTTTAGAGTGACAAGTGCCCATGTTGTTGATAGAAAACACAGCCGTAGTGTTATCAACTAGCAGTTTTACATGTTTTCCGGCAACTGCAGAGGAAAAAGATTGCAATGCTAAGAAAACTGCTAGCATTTCTAGGTAATTTATGTCATTTGCCCTTTCATCAGGTGTCCAGTTCCCACCTGTTGTTGTGGTGTCTATACAGGCCCCCCATCCAGTCAAAGATGCATCGGTAGATATAGTGACTTCAACCTCCCCATGGTTGATTGGGTTATAGGCCTCTGGTAAGGATGTTATCCACCACTTTACATCTGTTATAGATTCCTGTGATATAGACATTTTCCCTTCAAAATTCCCTTTACTTTGTTTAAGGGCATTTGTTTTGTCCATGTCCAGAGATCTATAATGGAGTGGGCCAAACATTACCCCTGGGAAACTAGAAGTCATAATTCCAAGCACCTGGGCTACCTCTCGGATGGTGGGACAAGCATTTTGAAGCAATTTTTGGCAAGCCTCAATTAATTTTTGAGCCCTTTCAGGCGTCAATGACACACACATCTTTAAGGAGTCAAGGACAAAGCCTAAAAACACAATTTGTTGTGTAGGAATAAGTATAGACTTTTCTGGGTGCACAGTAAACCCAAGTTTGTCTAACAAGCTTAAAGTAGCTACAATGTTCTCAATGCAATCATTATATTGGGCTGATTTTAGCCAGGAATCATCAATAAAAACGACTGAAGTGTGGCCATGCTTCCTTAAGTAAGCAAAGGCTGGTTTTAACAGCTTAGTGAACTTTCGAGGACATATAGCTAGTCCACTGGGAAAACATACAAATTTGTATATCTGCCCTTGCCACTGAAATTTTAAATATTTGTGATAATCAGCATGGATTGGCACTGAGTAATAGGCGTCTTTTAAATCTATGGAAGCCATATAGCATCCAGGGGTCATTGACCTTATTGCAGACCAGACAGTCTCCATTTTAAAATGGTAATAGGTAATAAACTTGTTAAGTGATTTTAAATTCAAGATCATTCGAAGAGTGCCATCCTTTTTTGGACGGGTAAAAATTGGAGAGACAAAATCTCCCTCTTCGCGTGTGCATGGCACAATAACACCCTTGTTAAGGAGTTTTCCAATTTCATGGTCTACCAGTTTGGTTTGTGCCTCTGTGAATTTTACATTCATCAAAGTTTTCGACTGTACAGGAATTTCAGAGAATTCAATTCTCTGACCAGTCAGTGTCTCCATTATTTCTGGATCCGACGTTAAAGCTTGCCATTCTTTAACATAGGCAGCTAAGTTTCCCGCTTTAAACATTTTTACTTTATTTTCAAGATAAACTAGCAAGGAAGGTAAGAGTGTATTATATGTGCTTACCTGCAATTCTGTCAAAATGTTGCTCATTGATTTTTCTGATTCCCCGGTTGATTGGACCGATATTGTTTGTACTTTCTCCTGTACTGGGGTTTGCCGCCCTGAGGCGGCTGTTTCCATAAAAAAGGCTTTTGTTGACCAGATCTGGCTGGTGCCTGTTGAGGCGAGAAATTGCGCCTTGGTGGATAATATTGGGAACCACTTGCTGTATTTTTTATTTTATTCGATGCCCGTATGTGGTTCAGTTGTGTTTGCAATTCGTCCCCGAAAAGCAAAGTGGTAACAGGCACATGGGAAGCACACAGTGTAGCATACTCCTTATTGAGTGTTGGACGAATAACATCACGTCTTCGTTGAGCCAAATCATAACTAATGTGGCCCATAATAGCAATGGCGTCCATATTCTTGCGAATAAGGTTTTCGATGTCGACTTCGCTGTTTTCCGCACGAGCTGTCAACAACATATCTGTTGCTTGCGAGACAATATTACCAACCGCTGCTAGGTTAGTTTGCAAGTATGACAGCTTTAGATCTTTGCTTCTTGTTTCTTTGTCGAGACGCCCCCAGATTTCTGGGTTGACCTTCGGAGTAATGAGTCGGTCACAGTTAACCGGACGCAAATGGGTATCAAGTTTCTCACGAAGGCTTTCATCACTCAGCTTGTTTAGCCAGCGAGAGTTGATGATTTTTGCTAATTGTTCAGCAATTTTGGGGGCGGATTTTTCCGTGTCATTCATAGCTTGTGCGATTTCTTCCAGCAAAGGGTCATCGCGTTGATCGGGTGACTCTGTGACGTCCCCGCCATTGCTATTGTTGTCGTTGTTAACGACTACTGGTGTGGCGCCCATTTCGCCGTCGTTGTTAACGACTTTTTGCCGTTTATTCGCCTGCTGGTTCAGCAGTTGATCGGCATCTGATTGATGACCATTCTGCTGGTCGTTCAGGCCTTCTTTGTCTGACAAAAGTGGCCTTTTTCTGGCAGGTTCTGCCGTGTGCATTTGGGTACTAAATTGCTTAAGCGACTCGTTTACAGCAAGCATGTTTGTATTCAGTAACGAGATAGTCGACAGGAATTCTTTGTTTAGATTGATTGAAGGCTCTTCGTCTTCTGTGAAAAGAAGTTCGTCTTTGTCTTCAGGTTCTGCCATCGGAAATATGTCAAATGAAAAGTATTTTGTCCAAACAAGTCAAACGAA